TTTGAAACACAGTATAATGAACACTTCTCTACATATATATATATATATATATATATATATTTGTCTGTTTCTCCACGTTAGCCCTAGTGACCGTTCCCAGCGTGGGTTACTGTGCCGCCCAGGAGTCCTTGTCCCCTTGCCACCCAGTGACCGTGACCCAAGAGCGGAGCGCATTCGGTGCCTTTTCCTTGAAGAGCGTCCTCGTGGGAGAGGAGAGCAGTGGGACCCAGCCTCCTGCGACCCACGCCCGCCCAATCCTGCATTCGCTTTCCCCATTACTGCCCCACGTCTCCGGAAAAGGTTGGGGAGACACGAAAGAGTTTTGTTGTTTTTTCCGTTTCCGCGTGTAGGTCGATGGCTCCGTGATCATGGAGAATGGCATCGTCCGGGTTCGCCCCTAACCCTAACCCTAACTCTTCATTGCGTTTGATGGAATCTGAGAGGTACGGTTAAAATCAATAATTGCGTGATTATCCCAGAGTATGTCAGGAGTATTAAAAATTAAGTAGGTATTTTAATTACAAAAATGTGAGTCACGCACTGAAAGGGTTCAATGGATGCAACGGCTCAGCAGAAGCAGCAGTTCTATATAGGCAGTTGTGCCTGTAGCTTAGGAGCCGTCAGTCTGAGGTAAACCTCAGTGGGAGACTGTGAGGAGGCTCACAGTGTGAGATAGGCCGTTGTTTGTGAGAAGGCCTCACAGTGTGAGGTAGGCCTTAGTCTGTGAGATGGCATCACAGTGTGAGGTAACCTTTAATCTGCGAGAAGGCCTCACAGTGTGAGATAGGCCTTTGTTTGTGAGAAGGCCTCACAGTGTGAGGGAGGCCTTAGTCTGTGAGATGGCATCACAGTGTGAGGTAAGCCTTAATCTGCGAGAAGGCCTCACAGTGTGAGATAGGCCGTTGTTTGTAAGAAGGCCTCACAGTGTGAGGTAGGCCTTAGTCTGTGAGATGGCATCACAGTGTAAGGTAAGCTTTAATCTGCGAGAAGGCCTCACAGTGTGAGATAGGCCTTTGTTTGTGAGAAGGCCTCACAGTGTGAGGTAGGCCTTAGTCTGTGAGATGGCATCACAGTGTGAGGTAAGCTTTAATCTGCGAGAAGGCCTCACAGTGTGAGATAGGCCGTTGTTTGTAAGAAGGCCTCACAGTGTGAGGTAGGCCTTAGTCTGTGAGATGGCATCACAGTGTAAGGTAAGCCTTAATCTGCGAGAAGGCCTCACAGTGTGAGGTAGGCCTTAGTCTGTGAGATGGCATCACAGTGTGAGGTAAGCTTTAATCTGCGAGAAGGCCTCACAGTGTGAGATAGGCCTTTGTTTGTGAGAAGGCCTCACAGTGTGAGGTAGGCCTTAGTCTGTGAGATGGCATCACAGTGTAAGGTAAGCCTTAATCTGCGAGAAGGCCTCACAGTGTGAGGTAGGCCTTAGTCTGTGAGATGGCATCACAGTGTGAGGTAAGCTTTAATCTGCGAGAAGGCCTCACAGTGTGAGATAGGCCTTTGTTTGTGAGAAGGCCTCACAGTGTGAGGGAGGCCTTAGTCTGTGAGATGGCATCACAGTGTGAGGTAAGCTTCAGTGTGAGATAGGCCTTTGTTTGTGAGAAGGCCTCACAGTGTGAGGGAGGCCTTAGTCTGTGAGATGGCATTGATATCGAGCTCTTTTGTGGGGGGTCTCCCAGCGGGGGGGATCCCTGAAGACCGCTAAAGGGGTCCTTTGACCTCGGTGAGCAGCCAGCGAAAGCCAATCCAAAGAACGAAAAATATTAAAAATTAATCTCACCGGAGGCTGAAGAGGTTCAGTGACCGAGGCGTTTATTTCTGCGATTCAGCTGAAAAGGATGCGATTGCAGTGATCATTCACATACAAGCATGGTTTTACAGAATTTCCAGGCATTTTTATAGCGTACAGACAAAGGAAACATTTTCAAAAATCCCGCCCGCCCTCTACCGGCCGGCTTCGCTCTGATTGGCTGGCCGCGGAACAGCTGGGAGGAGGCTTGGCGGCGCGCCTCGCCCCCTGTCCAATCAGCGGGCTCTGCCGCCTTCAGGGGGCCACGCAGCGCCTTCCTAGCTCCTCCGAAGATGGTCCAATCGGCAGCCAGGAGGCGGGACGAAGCTTGACAGCTCAGAGGAAATGATGAGCCCAGGGGGCATCCGCCAGCTGAAATGCGAGGCTTTGTCCTCACCGGCGGGGTGACAGATAGGGGAACAATGAGTTTCCTGGTTTATGATTGGATTTGGGAGGAAGTATGAAAAGAAGCTCTTGATGGTATTTGGACCTCAGGGCCTTGTAAACAAGGGGGATCAACAAATACCTAAAAATGATACAATCAGTCTTTTCTTCCTGAGTTTCGGTTGACCCTTCCCGCCCTTACTGTCTGCTCTGAAAGTTAGTTTGAGAAGGGGATCAACCGCACGGCCCATGCAAATGTAAATATGAACCATTTTTGGGAGGACAAAGGGTTTCCTCCCTGTCGCAGTAATCCTTAGGTCACATTCCTTTTGGGGCAAGGGACAAAGAGGAGAAGCGGGGAGGGGAACCAGAGTACATTTCTGATAATATTTCATTACATACATTTCATATATTTTCACATTTCATGAGGCAATCCCATCCCCATCCCCAGCAAAGGTTTATTAAAAAGATTCGATTCATTTTATTATCAGGAGAAATTCATAGTCTTCTTGATGAAGGCGCACGGAGGCTGAGGCTGCTTGTTCTTTAAGGCAAGCCTGATCTGAAGGTTTGTGTCCAAAAATGTGGCAGAAAACAGTCCGGGAGGTGGAGCAGAAAGTCAATAGGAGAGGGCAAACAAGAGAGTCCAAGGAGGGTTTCTGGGTTGTGATTGATGGAGCAATGTCCTTTGGGAAACTACATTTCCCTGATCAGAGGCCGGGACCCATGCCTGGCCACCTTCCCGGGACCCCTACGGGTGGCCGCAGTGGGTCCCTGGCTGCTGGATCCAAGCGGGAGCGAGCGCTGCCAAGGAGAAGCGAAAAGCCTGGCCAGTTTGACAATCAGCTGTTTCTCTGCAAGATAAAAATGCTTAAAACAAAACTAATTTTTCCCCGGGTGAAGGGGCCCAAAACGAGAAAAGGGAGACAGGGGTTAGTCTTAAAATTAGTTGTAGAAAAATATAAAATTGGAACGGCGGCGATCCGCCATTTTAGGTATTTTCGTGGATAAGGGGGTCTGAAATGGCGGTTTCCGTATCCGCGGTTCGGGCGAACGCAGATTCGGGGTCCAGGGGGCGCCCGGAGGCGCCTCCCGCAGGCTCACGGCTCTCCGGAGCCCAGAAAAAGGTTTATTGCAATGTTATTTTGTTTGAGTCAAGAAGGGATACAAAAGTAGCATGCGGAAAGATAAAAAGTTGCAAGTTTCAAGTATCTTTATTAGGGAAGTGATACAAAGTAGGGAGTAGGGGAAAGCTGAAGGAAAGTTGCAGGCCTTCCTGGTTTTGAGCTGGCTGCTGGGGCACACCTCATACGTTGGTCCCAAAACTTGACCCAGGAACTGCGGAACTCTCCGCTGCAGTTCACACCAATGTGAAGGCGGGGCTCCCCGCTGCGCTCGGGCTCAGCATCACAGTGTAAGGTAAGCCTTAATCTGCGAGAAGGCCTCACAGTGTGAGATAGGCCGTTGTTTGTAAGAAGGCCTCACAGTGTGAGGTAGGCCTTAGTCTGTGAGATGGCATCACAGTGTGAGGTAGGCCTTAGTCTGTGAGAAGACCGAGTGTGAGAAGGCCTGGTGTGAGAAGCTTCGGTGAGAGAAGCCCCAGATTGAAGGCCTCGGGTGTCAAGCTCCTGTGTGTGAAGCTCCTGTGTAATTTTGGTGTGAGAGGAGGCTCAGTGAGAGTGAAGCTGTTTATCGGCATGAGAAAGAAGCCCAGCGTGGAAGCAAAGGAGGAAGTAGAACTCAGCCGTGGACAAACTTTGGCCCTCTATGTGCTTTGAACTTCAACTCCCACAATTCCTAACATGTTTGCCTGATCTAACGCACATATTATAAGCCTGCTTTCTTTGTTCCTCTGACATCTGCACCCAGAATATTTTCACACGTCCAGGTCTCACGATCCAGAACCCATAAGTTCAAATTATGACTCCGTGTCTCTTTGTTGCAGAGAGTCCATCCCCGAAGGTTCCTGCGCTAACCAGTTTGTGATATTTGAGGATATTCTTTGTACTGGGATGCTTGGGATGTGATGGACTATCATTTGGAGACTAGGTAAGCAGCCGTCCTCTTCCTGTGGGATTCTGGGAAGCCAAGGATTGCTTGCCAAGAGCCACTGCTTGCAGAAGTTTGTAAGACTCGTTCCGTTTTGACACTCCAACAATTGAACTGTAGTGAGTGGTCTCTCTCCTTTGGAGAAGCATTTACGGGCAACGACCCCAATGCGTCCCAATTCGAGCCTCTTCCACCTTAGGAAGCTGGACTAGATGCTTTGCTGTTAGTAGCTCAGGGGCAAAATAAAATCATGCAATATTATTATTATTATTATTATTATTGTGGACTATAGTTTGCTTTGTGTGCACAAAGTCCCAAGGTCAATCTCCAGCATCTCCAAATAGCTTTGAAGAACCTCTCTTCCACCTTAAAACACTGAACTAGAGGTTTTGCTATTATTATTATTATTATTATTATTATTATTATTATGGACTATAGTTTGCTTTGTGTGCACAAAGTCCCAAGTTCAATCTCCAGCATCTCCAAGTAGGTTTGAAGGCCCTCCTCTCTTGAGTGGCTGTGGACAATTATTGTTGGTAGTAGCAAACGTGATAGACCGATGCCTTGCCTTCGTGTGAGGTGCCTTCTGCATCCTTGCGCTCTTTCAGGAAACCCATCACGCATCTCCGGAAACCCTTGGAAATTGCCGTGTGGGGCGGTCTGCGTGGCCGTGCGAGGTTCTCCTTGCAGATCAACCGGAAGAGCCTCCTCAGCCAGGAAGTCACCTTGGGCGCGGCTTCCCCTCGCGTCCGCTTTCAGACTCAGGTTTGGTCTTCAGAACCTGGAAGGCCTTCTCCTCCTCCTCAGGGATCGTGTCCCTCTGGGGTTCACGGGTGCATGGCTTTCTCTGACTTCCCTATATTATTATTATTGTTGTTGTTGTTGTTGTTGTTGTTGTTGTTGTTTATTATTTTTTGTAGGCTGCTTGGGACGAAGCCCACCAGTTCCTCAAGGTGGAATTCCCAGTCGAGGTGCGCAGCCCCAACGCTACGTACGAGATCCGGTTTGGCCACCTCCAGAGGCCAACGCATGGGAACACCTCCTGGGACGGGGCCCGCTTTGAGGTCAGGCCGATATCCCCCCTTCCCGCCTGTCATTGCGCAAACAAGTGGAAACTTGGCTTTGGGGGCAAGCCTTTGGCCCGGCACAATTCCCTCTGCAATATTGATCCACAGGATTCTCTGATTCCCTGGCTTTGGATTTAATCGTCTAATGTTTACATATGTTGTTTTAAATGGCTGCTTAATGGCTTTTAATTGTTGTTGTTTGGGCATGGAATAATGCCACGCCCGGAAGCCGCCCCGAGTCCCCTTCGGGGTGAGAAGGGCGGGGTGCAAATGCCGCAAACGAATCAATCAATCAATGCCTGCCTGATTGGAGAAGCTCAGCTTCCCTCGCAATCCTCTCCATGGGCCGGCCTTCCCACCCTTCCCGCCCCTTTCCATCCGGGCCGTGCAACATGGCTTCTTCTCCAGGTGGTCCTGTGTGGCCGATCCTGGCCTGAGCAGCCGGTGGTTGAGGAATGCTGGGAGTTGGGGTCCAACAGCACCCGAGGGACCGCCCACTTCCTCCCAGCCCCTCCCTCCCAACAGGTGCCTCCTGCCTGAACATACATGTCACAGGAATGTCGGTCGGTCGGTCGGTCCCTCTCGGGGAAGACGGGGATTGCTGTCCTGCCAGTTCAGAGATGGCATTTGGGGAAAGGATGCTTGTCCTGAACCGCAGCTCCCAGCCTCCCACAGACAGCCCCCAGTTTCCCCAGTAGGATGGCCGCTCATCCCAGTGATGTCGAGCACCCCCCCCCAAAATAAGGGATAGTGACTTGTAGTTCTGCAAAGGGCAAGGGCACCAGACTACACAACAAGGGTTAAGTCTTGGTCACATTGCCAAGGCACTGACAACAACAAGGACCCCACGAGGCTTTTTGGAAATGGCTGGATCTTGGGACTTCTGCCCTTTGTGAGAGTTGCAGTTCCCCCAAGGACCGAGCGATGGATCATGTTATCTATCAACTCAGCGCCCATCCGCTGACTTCTACCAAGAGAAATAACTCTTTGCTTCCTGACTTGGACTGCAAGCCACCTCCACTTCCACAAACCTTCCCCAGGGGCATGGGATTTCCAGTTCTTTTAAGAAATCAATATTGTAATAAAATAATAAAGATGTGGGGTGGGAAGGGAAATTTTATATGAACTTTGTATAAGAAATCATTGTATGAAATGTAGTTTGTTTCCCCCTTGACTTTTGCCCCACAAAAGAGGCGACCAGGAACTGACAGTTTGCTCGAGGGAAGACCCCTGCCTCCCTCGAACCTCACCCTTTTGATTAACTCATCTGCATGGAACAATAGCCACTTATGATTTCCTTATCTCATTTTCTGAGCATGTCTGGTGGGATGAGGGGGATCTGTGAGACCATGGAAAGAAAGATTGAAACTACAAAAGGTGATGTTGACCCCCCGGGAGGTCCGTTGCTGACTTTGTTTACCCTCTTGACCAAAACTCATCAAGGAACAGGAAAGCTTTTGTTTGGGGAGGTCACACCTAGCTGGCCGGCAGAGGGCGGGCGGGAATTTTAAAATGTTTTCCTTTGTATTTTTGCTATAAATATGTCTGTATTCTTTGTACTGGGATGCTTGTGGTGGAATGATTCCTGCAATGCATCCGATCTCAGCTGAATCGCTAATAAACATCTCGATGCCTCTTCTTCGCTTTGGCAATGGTCTCATTTCAATTATTAATATTAAATAAAATTGCTGGAATCAGGCTTCTCTGAAGGCTTGCCAAGGTAGCGTTCCCTCTTTGGTGGGAACTAAGGGTCATCTCTCCTTGGAGTTGACCCCCCTAAAGTCTAGTTTGGGTTCACCAGTGGGTGTGCTTCCGCCTGCAGGTATGGAGCCACACGTGGATGGATCTGTCTGAACGTGGCATTGGGGTTGTGCTGCTGAAGGACCGCAAGGACGGTGGCTCGGTTCGGGACAACGTGATGAGCCTTTCCTTGTGAGTTCTGGGGGTCGGCCCCCCAATCCATACAGGGTTCTCTCTGGGTGGGGGGTGGGGGAGGGTCTCCCGTCCTCCAAAGCGGGGGGCTTTTCCCTTCCGCCAAAGAATGGGTCCTCAAAACAGAAGTCCGTGCTCTAGTATTGCGTACTGTGTCGATTAGTAGAAGCAACGGCGTGAATGGTGTTGCAGTTTATTATCAGTCTCTGCGGAAGCTCCTCCGCAGCCTTCCCAGCCCTCTGTCGAATCACACAGAGTCAGAGTGAAGGGAAAACACAATTGACTCTTGAGTAGTCAGGGATAAGTAGGCAGCTTCACAAAATAACCAGCCTTGAAAATAAACCGTCCATTGCAGAAAACAACTCACACAAAGCCCAATGCATTAAAACCACGCCTTCTCTGCTTCTTCCATGGTGCAAGGAGTCTTGTAGTAGTCAATGGTCCAGAACTTCAGCAAGTCCTGTGGTAAGTCTGTGGTAGAATTACTGTGGTAGAATTACCTTCTCTCGGTCCCACCACCTTCGTAGGCACGTTTGGTGGGGACGAGAGACAGGGCCTTCTCTGTGGTGGCTCCACAGCTATGGAACTCTCTCCCCGGCGAGATGAGGCCTGCCCCCTCCCTCCTGTCCTTCAGGAAGCAGCTAAAATCTTGGCTTTGGAGTCAGGCATTTGCAGATAGATGGATTGATCCCGTATAGACTAAGAGTTATTGGACCACAACGTTTTGGACTGAGTTGGGTGTGGTTTTAACTTGACGAATTGTTTTATATGCATTTTAGAACTTATTTGTTGTGTGTGTTGTCTTTCTGATGTTGTTTGTTGTGCACTGCATGTGTGTGTTGGCCGTTCTGCGTCCCTCTGAAGGAGGCCGAGAAGAATACCCAAGTTCCAAAGGCACAAAGACTCAATCCAGAGAGTTCCCTCTCCCTCGTGGCTGTGTACAAGTGTCGAGGCCTCTTTGCTCCTGCCATTTGCAAGGGGGCCAATACGGAGAAGTATTTCGGTCACCCAGCACCACCGGGCTTTTCCTTCCGGCAGGTTCCTTCCCGGAGGCCTTCCGAGGGACCCACCAGGCGCACCATCTGAACTTCCCTCTCCACACCTCTCCTGCCAAGTGTGTCCTCCTCACAGTGTGTCCCCAGCGTGGAGCGCCTTCTCCGTGGAGGCCCCAGCCGTTGTTTTGGAGGCCGCCAAACAGGCCAGGCGTCCCAGGACGAGGAGGGGCAGCGTGGCCGGAAGGCGGTGTAACGCCAGGGAAGCCACCAGTTTGTAGAGAAGCGTGTACATAATATGTGTGGTCCTCTGCCAACACTTTACTACCTGGCACTCCCTCTTGGCTTTGAATCACCGGCTGGAGGCTCTCTTGCGCGAAGCAAGGTATCAACGTTTATTTATAATTCCAGGTTCCAAGGCTTGTGGATACAATTGGTATTGTTGTTGCAGTCTTGAGTTACAGCAGTCACGTATCATATACTTGGTGCACGCTCCTGAGATCGGCTTTCAAGGTTCCCCATTTACCAAGATGGCATTTGCTTGACACATACTTGACTCAACGTACTTTCTGAGTAAAGCACCACTGGCTTCCCTCTAAGTTCTCAAAGCGTGTGCTCTACTTGACCAACTGCTTCCTTCTGAACTCTCTCTCGTGACCAGGAATCCCTGACTCTCTCTCTCTCTCTCTCTCCGTCCTCGTCACCAACTGTCACTTCTCCGACTCCCTCCCTCCCCCTCCCCTCCCCTCCTTTTTGAACTTGGCTCCGCCCCTTTAGAATGCTCAGCTCTGCTCTTCCCAACTGTCACTTGGCCTCCCAACCTGTTGAAAGCTGTGCTAATCTGCATATTATTATTATTATTATTATCATTATTATTATTATTATTATCATTATTTGTACCCCACTAGCATCTCCCATAGGACTCGATGCGGCTCACACAGGCCGAAGCCCCAAAACACAATACAACAGAACATAATACAACAGCAATACCAGAAGCAAATCAAAACAGTTGAGCAAAATAAACAAGAACCGTAACAATACATCAGGAGGCTTTGCAACTGGGCCGGCCAGAGCGGTGGGGACAGGAATGAGAAGTGCTGAAATGGCAGGAGGAACGTAGGATTAAAATAAGTACGGTGTGCAGCGATCTTAATTCTACTAAAGTGCTTCTAGGACTTGGAGATGGGGAATTCCTAATCTGAGAAGGCACATCGGAACAGCCAAGTTTTTAGATTCTTTCTGAAAACTGCCAAAGTAGGGGCCTGTCGAAGATCTTTTGGGAGGGTGTTCCAGAGTCAGGGGTGTCACCACGGAAAAGGCCCTGTCTCGCGTCCCCACCAAGCGAGCTTGTGACGCGGGCGGGATCACGAGCAGGGCATCTCCAGATGACCGGAGTGAGCGTGTGGGTTCGTAGACAGCGATACGGTCACGCAGGTAGGGTGGTCCCAAACCGTTCAGGGCTTTGTAGGTAAGCACCTGCACCTTAAATTGGGCTCGGAAAATAAATGGCAGCCAGTAGAGCTCCTTAAACAGAGGGGTAGACCTCTCTCTATAATGAGCCCCGGTTAGCATCCTAGCTGCTGCCCACTGGACCAATTGGAGTTTCCGAGCCGTTTTCAAGGGCAGCCCTACGTAGAGCGCATTGCAGTAATCCAAT